GTCGTCCCCGATGCGCCCCAGGGTCGTGGAACTCGGACGAGAAGCGGCGCCGAGACGTCCTCTGCCGACATCACCTAAGCGGCGCCGTGCTAATACCAACCCGTCCTCTCCATGAGTCGGCGGCCAAGGATTCACAATTCCGATAGGAAGACGCTGAAGGTCTTCCAAGCGAATGTGGGCAAGATCCCGCCGGCCCACGATTGCGCCCTGGCACTGGCCGACTCCGAAAAATATGACATCGTTCCTTAAGAAGACTATTAAGGAGTTGCCACCAGTTGAGCATATCCGCATCCGTTGCCTCGGTCATGTCATCAACCTCGCTGCTAGTGCCTTCATTTACAGACAGAACAACGAAGCAGATGAGCTCTCAAAACTAAACCTGCCTACACAAGGCAAGAAAAAGGAGAAGGACGAGATCAAATCTCCATCAAAATGGCGAAAACTAGGCCCAGTTGGCAAGCTCTTCAACCTTGTCAAACTCATCCACGCTTCTAACGCAAACATGAACTCCTTCACAAACATCACAGGTTGCCAAATGCCTCTTCCTAACGCGACAAGGTGGAATAGTTGGTTCATCATGATCCACAAGGCTCTCAAGCTTCGCAAAGGAATCATTCAGTGGTCGAGTTCCAGAAAATCCGCGCAGGAGGATTGCCTCACTCACGATGAGTGGAGGGAACTCTTTAATTACAAGAACTTCCTCCTTCCATTTTGGCAAGCGACAAAGGCCGCCGAGGGCGACCGTGCATCTCTTCAATCAGTACAACTTTCCATGGATTACCTCGCAGACCACTACGCCAAGGCCACAGAGTTTTACAAGGACAATGCCTCAACGAAAGCGCGCATTCTCACCTCCCATCTCATCTTTGACAAATACTACAACATTACGGATCGGGCACCTCTCTATGCGGCTTCCATCCTTCTGCACCCCAGCCTTCGTCGATCTTACCTTGACAAACAGTGGGCAGCTCTCTCTACAAAAAATGAAACCCCGTATATTGAGAATGCAGTGAAGGCGACCACCTCACTTTGGGAGAAATACAAGCCTCAGGACGGCGAGGCCGAGGGTAGCTCAAAGCGAGGCGAGCTATCAAGCTTTGACGTGTTCATGCAGAGTGTACTTCAGGATAACTCAACATGCGACGAGTTTGAGAGATTCATCAAGGTAAGTTCACCTATTTCCCTTTCACACTACCGTCCATTAATAAGGATAGGGCGATAAGTTCCCCATCCATCGCTCTCCACTCGAGTGGTGGCTTGAACCCACACAGGGAGACATGTACCCAAATCTTCAACAATTCGCCATTGACGTCTTCACGATTCCCCCCATGTCCGCAGAGCCTGAGCGACTCTTTTCAGGGGGGAGAAGGACCGTCTCATGGACACGGTGTCGCCTCTCCGCGTTCACAATTGAGATGCTCGAGTGCGTCAAACATTGGATCAAGAACGGCCTTGACGAGCCAGTCGAGGGTGAAGAGGACGAGGATATCTTCGAACCGTCACCCGAGGAGCTCGCACAAGTGGAGGCGGATTGGGATGAGCTAATCACTGACAATCTCGCTGCGCATGTTCGCAGATTCGCCCTAGACGAAGAGCTAGATGGCACGGTCAGCCCTGCAGAGCTCTTCGCGATGGACGCTATCCCGCTCGTTGGCCAAGACGAGGACAGTGACATGTTCAATAGCGAGAGGGAATCGGAGGAGGTAAACGACGTGGATGAGGATGTGTGCGAAGATAAAGAGGGAGAAGAGTAAGATTCAACACCATATTTCAATGAAACAACAGAAACAATTGAAACAACTGAAACTGAAACTGAAACCGTGCCTCTCTATTGAAACCGAAACCGAAACCATGCCCCGTTTCAGTTTCAATGGTTTCTGTACAACACTGGCGATGAAGTTGGATTCTTCATCGTAATCTAGTAAAACCGGCAAGATAATCATGAAACTAATAGCTAGCTAAAAATACTATTTTATTGCTTAACGACGATACAATCTGCATCTTCCTCATCACTCTTGGCCAGTTCCCATTGACTCATTGTCCTGCGAATATTTCATTCCTTGGACGGCATGGATTGGTTTCCTCTCTTGGCGGACGGCCCTTCCCAGTGTGTCCATCAACCAAGTAAACCAAAAATTGGCCCTCTTACTCGACTTGGTTGACGAGAGCCCTTGCTTTACTTGGTTGGCTTCAAAAAGTCATTACTTGGTTGACTTTGCTTGACCACTATTCCCAATCGGGTAATATTTCTGTTAAAGTATGACTTTGAAGTAACTCCATTTCTACCACGGTATCTGACTTGAGAGGATTCCCTTCAGCGGCCGAAGGAATGGTTGTGTCGGCATTTTGGCTTTTTATTGATGCATCGCCCACCGGGTTCACCTACCCTGGGGAATCTTCGAAAATTTGGCGGTGATGCGTGGGCCACCTTCCCTTGTATTATTATTTTCTTGGCATGTACTGTTAAGGAAGTACTCGAAATTACTATTGATTTGCTTAACATCACATAAAACCTCATTTTCTGCGCGTCGCGCAGTTGCGGCGGCGGCGATGGCGACGGCCACCTCCAGCCCGCCTTGTGAGCCAGATTGGCTCGATCTCGGCAACTACACACCTAAGAATTTAGCTCGGGGTGCCCGCGCAGCCCTCCTTCGAGACAGCTCACCCGTGGAGGTCACCGACATTGGCGTTTCACCCGCACGTGGCAGGAGCGCCCACAGCTGAGGGCAGATCACCGACACCTACCCGATACAATGGTAGATTGTCTTGTGTTTTCGCCGATGCCACTGTC